GTCTTGGGAGGGGGGCCCAAGATAAAATCTTGCACCAGGGCCCTTTGGTTATTAGGTCCGCCACAGGCTAGAGGGGTCTGGGTGCTGAAAGATGGACGAGCTAGAGGGAGCTGGATTCTGCAAGATGGAAGAGGCTAGAGGTGGTCTGAGTGCTGCAAGATGGAAGGGGCTGGAGGGCACTGGGTGCTGCAAAGTGAAAAGGGCTGGGTAGTGCAAGATGGAAAGGGTTTGAGGAGACTGGGTACTACAAGAAATGCAAGCGGGTGAGTTCGGCAACATAAAAAATCTGCTTTTGTTGCTGAGTAGACCAGACAGTTTCAATAGCTGTGTCTGCAACTGTGACATGTAATTTACATGTATTTTTAGGAATGCAAGAAGAAGTGTACTATGGAATTAAATACTGATTTTAGTACTGCTTTAAATAGCAACGGTTAATATTTGTGATTTTGAAGACTTTGTTATAATTGGGTTTGAAGATTAAAAACTATATAAATGTTTATTATTTGAATAAAAATACATTATTCGACTATATTTTGTTATTTCAGATATTCAGAGGAAACAGCAACAGTGCAGGATATGCCAAGAATAATTTCAATCCTCCAATATTTTCACGATTCCTAAAGATTATTCCAAAAAGTTGGAATCAAGGCATTGTCATGAGAGTGGAGCTCTATGGTTGTAATATTTAAAGTCATCAAACTAAAAAGTTTGGGATATATGGAAAATATTTTGTGTTACAACAGCTAACCAGAAACGTGTTTGTCTTGATTCGTGGACTGGATATTCAAACAAATGTTGCCATTTGGCTTATTATTTTTTTAAAGTTTTTTTTTTATTTATGAAAATAGTTTTTTGTGTGATATTTTGGTTGTCTCTGTCGTTATTATGTAACTGCTTATTTCTACAGCTGAAAATATCATCTATTAAAGTGAACTAGTATTCACATATTAAGATATATCAATAGTCTTGCTTGGATATATAAATAACAAGTAAAAATGTTTATAATACATTTCCTCCAAAAAATCTTACCCCAAACACCCAGCAGTGCAGGTCACTAAAGGCCTAGGCATTTGATCATGTGATCATAAAGGAGCGGTTCAGAGTTCAGACTAGCTAATCCACTCCTTCACCAGAGATCATGTGAGCAAATTCCTAGGCCTTCATACATGTTGCCACCAATGCCAACCTGGTTCAGTATTTTTGTTTGGCACGGGTAAATATTTCAGCTTGTCTATTTTTTTATTTAACCATCACATCAAAACTGTTAACATAGCTTTATGGTAATATTTCAGTACGAGTCTGTTTTAAGTACTTGATAAAGAAGAGTAAAACTAAAAGATGTTTTCAAAGGTATATAAAATGATAGCTATTTACTGCATTTTGTATAATAATGTAAAAAATAGGTAATATCGTTTAAAAAATATGATTTTTCGACAAACAAAAGGAAACATATGCATATGAGCTCATAGGTACCTACTGTCATATGCAATTGCAAAATGTCTAAACTTAGCTAGGTGACTACAAGCACTTGCACAGTGATAAATTACAGCAGTTCATTTAAAAACATCTGCGTGAGGACCATACTAATGCCATTTGTCACCTAAAGCTATTGGCAGCGTCATCCAACAAATTAGTATCTGATCCAGGAAAACATTCTTTACCATGTAAAACAATTGTCTTAATTTGTATACATGTTTTGTCTATGAAATGTAGTTGTTTATAATAGTAGTTCCATGAGTTATGTCTGTAGGTAAACTTTTGCAAAATAGACATAATATACTTTTGTTGTTGTATTGTTGTCTTTTTTAAATTACATTTTCAATAAAATGTTAATGAAAAGAAAAAACTGCACCAAAAGTGTTTATTTTCTTCTTCAATATGTTTTATTAGTTTTTCAAAATGCAAGACATACAAATATTGTCTAGTAACAAATGTATAAGGGAGCAATGTGTCGCCTGATAACAGTAGACTTAACAGTTAAGGGAGGGACCAGGTGGGGAGAGGGGGGGGGAGTAAGGTTGGCTGCCGCTGATACTCTTAGTAGCATGTGGTTATGTGGTTTTGTGAAGGAAAAGTTTTAGCTACTGGAGGAAAGGCCTGTATGGCGGATCTGTAGAGGCCTGAGTGCAGCTTGCTTCGTGGCAGGACTAACCCGCCGGGGGGTGGGGGGGGAGGGAAAGGGAAAGTGAGGAGGAGAGTAAAGGCACTGGGAGGTAAAGAGAAGAGAGGAGAAAGGAAGAGTAGAAGGTGGAAGGGGTGGTGACTACTGCCCGAGTGCTATGGCACAATGGGTAGCTAGGGAATGAGGTTTCGTGTTACTGGGTCAAGAGTGGATAAGAAGATGGAAGACCATGGGTCCCATATGGTATGGAATTTCTGGCTCGTGTTCATTAGTATGCTAGAGAGATGTTCGTTAACAAAAAATCCTTGTACACTTTGTTAAAATTCGGAATAAGGAATGGCCTGTTTTTTCCATGAGTGAGCTATAGTTTGTTTAGCTGATAGGAATATGTAGTTAGCCAGTTGCCATTGGGGAAAAGTGTTTATTTTCTTTGTTTAAAGGGTTCGTTTTCCAAAATGATTTTTCAGTATCTGAGTGATCCCACTGATCGCCTTGTGACTCCACGAGATGTTGAAAGGTGATGCAAGGAATCTGACACTGCACTGTTGCCCTTCTGTTGTCTTGTACCAGTCTTGCCACTCTCCGTTCTGCCCTAACATTGACTGGTCGCTGACGGCCACAATTCGCACGTTCAGACCCAGATTTTCGTCTGACAGTCCAGTCTTTAAAAAAACTTTAGAAAAACTGTTGTTTTGCTGCTACTCGCTCCATGGCTCCGAGCGCCAACAATCATCTCACGTTTAAAGGCTGTTCAATCGCATTGTTTACCCATATCTTCAGAAAAAAATCTCTTCTACTGTCGTTGTAAAAACACTCATTACACAAGGATGCTCCATTGTTTTGAGAAATGTCATGCAGCCAAGTCTGGAGTAGATGTAGACAGGAAGTACCTGCAAAAAGGCTTCAGGAGATCAGCAGCACTACGATGCAACAAAAAATTAAAAGAAAAAGATAAAAATAAATATTTTATTTGAAAAAATAACAATTGTATATTATACACAGTGCTTTAGCAAACACAATGTCATTCAGTTAGGGTTAATGTCTTCTTTAAGAGTCCATTACACCGCAGGCTAAGGGCATTTGGCAATACAATGAATGTATGTTCCTCTTATACAGGAGTCCTGCATGCTGCTGAGCTGCAATGCATTTAACCACCGCTATGGCAAAATTATTTGCAAATAAATCCTTGGCTCTTAAAGTTAACACATAATAAATAAAACAGACATAAAATACATTTAGTGCATACGTTACACATACGAACTCAAAGGGAACATAAAGAGAAAATCATATTTCAAGCGGAACCATCTCCTAAACATTTTGTATTAATATTTTATGTGTCACAATAATACCCTCAGGGTTCTGTGCTAGGCCCCATACTGTTTAACCTGTTCATTAATGATATCGGGCAGGGTGTCAATAGCCAGGTTTCTGCGTTTGCTGATGATACTAAAATTGGGAGGGTAATAGGACTTAGACATTATAGCATTACAGGAGGACCTGGATAAAATAGGGGAGTGGGCAACTATATGGCAGATGAGGTTTAATGTTGATAAATGTGAAGTCATGCATTTTGGGGTTAAAAACAGGCAAGAAGAATATATATTAATGGGAACACCACTAGGGAAGGATCTGGGGTCATTGTAGACCACAGATTGAACAATAGCTTGCAATACCAGGCTGCAGCAAACAAATCTAGCAGAGTGCTGTTTTGCATTAAAAAGGGAATGTACTGTAGAGACAAAGCAATAATCTTGCCACTTTATAGATCACTAGTTTGGCCTCATCTGGAGTATGCGGTTCAGTTTTGGTCACCAATACACAGGAAGAATGTCCTTGAGCTGGAAAGAGTCCAGAGAAGGGCAACTAAACTAATTAAGGGGCTGGAGGATAAAAGCTATAAGACAAGGTTGCTAAATTTAAACTTGTTCACGCTGGAAGTGAGGAGATTAAGAGGGGACATGATACCTTGGACATATCTCTCCGCTATGACTCGAACTACGCAGCCCTACAAGAAGCTATTCGTAAAGATCTTAAGAATTGCCGAACGCACACCTTCTCCTGGCTTGGCCGTACGGCCTTATTGAAAATGATCGTGCTTCCCAAATTCTTATACCTTTTCCAGACCGTGCCCATCAAATGACCACGCTCATTCTTCCACCAGTTAGACACCATTTTCTCCTCCTTTGGGTGGAACGACAAACGTCCACGCCTATCCTTGTCCCTTCTCAAAACACCCAAACATAGCAGTGGCCTAGACGTCTCTGACATACATACATATTACAAGGCTGCACACCTCGCCAGAGTGCTGCATTGGCACCTACACACCACCACTAGGCTGTGGGTATCATTGGAAGAGAGGGTATCCGATATCCCCCTATCATCTATGGTATGGCTAAGAGACGCGCTATGGCCATCAGCAGTGAGGACTCACCCTCTCATAGGAGCGACCCTTGCTGTCTTCTCCTTGGCGCGATGTCTCAACACCCTCACCTCCCTACATAGCCTAATGGAACCGCTGACACACAACAGAGACTTTCCTCCAGGTTTCACCAAGGATTTTATATCACACTGGACCCAAGAACCGCCTCTAAGAGCACAGCTTTTCTTTAAATCCCACACATTCCTCTCCAAAAACGAACTTTTGGGCCTCACAAACCGAGGATCGCTCCCCTAGTGGATATACTTCCAGGTGCAACATTTTCTGATGTCCCCAGATTGTAAGCCTTCCTACTCCAGGACCCTTACTCCTTTTGAGAGACTCTGCTCAGGAAATGGCCCAACCAGACACTTAATCTCATGGCTGTATAATTTGCTTAGAGACTGCACCACCCCACATTCGCCTTACTTTCGCACCAAGTGGGAGCGAACTCTCAATACCGCTTTAACCGCCAGTTCCTGGTCTAAGATTTGCACAGCAGCACACAAATGCACGATCAATAGCAGAATGCAAGAAACAAACTTTAAATTGCTAACTTTCTGGTACAGGACCCTGCACTTACTGCACCGCATGTACCCGGCAGTATCACCATTCTGCTGGAGATACCACACAGGTGAGGGCACCCTCACACACATCTTCTGGTACTGCCCTCGCATACAGCCCTTCTGGAGACAAGTACATGAAGCGATCCGAAAGATCACAGGCACTGCGATACCCTATACCCTCACAGTCTCCCTCCTACACTGGGAACCTGACACCCCCATGGGGATGCATAAATCACTACACAGACACCTCATCAATGCAGCGCGCACAATCATCCCCCGCCACTGGCGACAGGACCACACACCTACAATACGTGAATGGCTCACACAGGTTGGACATGTATACGAGATGTAAGAGCTACTTGCCACTAGACAGGACACCCTAGATAACTTCAGAACTATGTGGGCCTGCTGGATCTACTTCAGTGGTACTGCTAGTTTTATTGAATTGCAACGCAGCGGATAATAACTGGAAGAGTGCTAGATGCACCTTACCGCCTCCCATAACCCACCACAATTCATCTAACAACCACGCTCAGGTTACATAGTTACATAGTATTTGAGGTTGAATAAAGACATTAGTCCATCAAGTCCAACCTATTAGGATCTCATTCTAGGAGTACCTGTACCCCTGTATATTACGGTCCCTTAAGAAATCGTCCAAAAGTTTCTTGAACAATTCCACATTATTTGCTGAAATCACCACCTGTACCAAGCACCACTGCCGTGGTTCTGGTGCTTTCCATTTCAGGTCGAAATTGTGGTACCCCCATACGCATCAGCCACATTTATCCCCGATTGTGGCTCCAGGAACCCGATTGAGTACTCACTGACAATGCAATTATATTGTGAATACCACCTGCTGATATGTTCATCTCTATTTTTCTTCCTTTTTCTATATTCTCCGATTGCCATGGTTAGAAGTTCAACTGTTAGGCACTTCACTGTACATGATGTGAACCAGCGATCAAGCTCATTGTATCACTTTTGTATTCATAACAAAATTTCAATAAAAATCATTTGAAACAAAAAAGAGGGGACATGATTTTGATGTACAAACTATTTTGTGGTGATGGCAACAGCAGCAATACATTTTTTACAGTAAACTCCATAACAAAGACTAGAGGCCACCACCTAAAACTGGTGGAGAAAAGATTTAACCACAAGAAGCATAGGGGCTTCTTTTCAGTGAGATCAGTTAAAGTCTGGAACTCGCTGCCACAGGCAGTGGTATCAGCTGAGAGTATTGAATCATTCAAAAAGCATTTAGATACCTTCCTCACAGACCGTAACATACAGGGGTACAGGTACTCTTAAAAACAAGGTCACAGGGACTTGTGTACACACACGCACAATCACATACAGACACACAAAGGTTGAACTTGATGGACCTGTGTCTTTATTCAACCTCAAATACTTTGTAATACCACATTTGTAAAGGTAGGCAGGCATGCCCCTTTCACAGCTAAGCATTAGCATAACCAAGTGATTTCTAGGCATTTGTTTTGCACATTTTTACATGCGACTTTAGTACAGGAGCACAATTTGTGCGTTTTTGGCCCTGTAGACTTTTTAAATGGTAGTGCTTGAAAACTGCACAAAAACATGCATTTTAAAAGAGTCTTTCAGGCATTCCCATCAAAGTCTGTAGGGCACAAAACACACAATTCTGCCTAAAAATGTACTTTTTTAAGATTTGAGCTACAGGCGGCATAACACTCAGGTGTGAATTTGTCCATTGAGAATAATGGAATGCTTCATCTTGAGCGTTGTTGTGCTTCAGGAACAGCAAGACAAAATTATCTGGTGTGAAAGGGGCACCAAGTTTTACCCAACACTATACCAACCTATCTTAGATCCTCATCTGCTTGGGGTTAATGAAACGTGATGTATGATTGGTTGCTCTAATCAATTCTATAATATTCTACTTTTTATGCGTTCAAGGGTGCATGTCAGCACCTTTGCTTCATTTTTTTTGGTTTTGCATTATATGTTATGTTGGATACTGTATATATTAAAGTGCAACTGAAGCCAGGACTTTTTTTTGTAGTTTTGGAGAGAGTGAAAAGGGATTAAGACACCTGTCTGGTTTTTATTGCTATTTGTGTCCCTGTTAGAGATTCACCCTCTCTATTTATCCTGGTGACTGTTATTACTGGAAGTGAGAGAAAATGCCACATTTTCGGTTGTCACAAAAACAGGACATTCTTCCAATGGGGGGACAAGTTCTGGTGACCATGCTGACCACCGGGGATTTTTCATAGGTTAAACCTTAGTATTCGGTTTTCCCCTGGTTACCTTATGTCACAATGTCCTTTACATTTCCTCTACAGGAAATTTAATTGTGCAAAACCTGGACTCTTCACTATGCATGATGTTTTGACAGAGACAGTGCCTGGTCTCTCTACCACTTAAGTTTCCAGAGGGCTGAGGTGTTTTCAATTAAGCAGAAAAGATGGGCAGAGGAATGTGCTCTTGGAACACTGCCACTATCACCACCACTTCTCTATGGCATCATGGCACTAGGCTATCGACAGATGTAAAATAAAATGGGGATACAGGATGCCACCCCACCCTGGATCAGCCCTAGATTCCACCAGATCCTGGATCAGCCCTAGATACCACCCTGCCCTGGATCAGCCTAGATGCCATCCTGCCCTGGATCAGCCCTACATACCACCCTGCCCTGGATCAGCCTAGATGCCACCGTGCCCTGGATCAGCCCTAGATACCACCCTGCCATGGATCAGCCTAGATGCCACCCCGCCCAGGATCAGCTCTAGATACCACCCTGCCCTGAATCAGCCCTAGATGCCACCCCATCCTGGATCTGCCTAGATGCCACTCTGCCCTGGATCAGCCCTAGATACCACCCTGCCCTGGATCAGCCTAGAGGCAACCCCACCCTGGATCATCCCTAGATGTCACCCTGCCCTGGGGATCAGCCCTAGATGCCACCCCGCCCTGGATCGGCCTTAGATGCCATTCCACCATGTCCTGGATCAGCTCCATAGCATTGAATGACGCCATGCCCTCCTGCACTATGGAAACACATGACGCTGTGCGGCACCATTAAATACAGGGCAAACTACATCCCGTGTATATGGCATCCCATATTTTATGGGAAGGGTACCAACCCTACAGTGTAGCCGATACGATGATGCTCCCTTTAGGGGGACCATATAAACAACAAGCTTACAGGAAATTGACAGAATGACAGAGTGCCATTTAATTCTGAAGAAGACCACCAACGCTGGACTGAGGAAGAAGTCCAGACTCACTGATGGAGTGTGGAGTGATATTGACTATATTTTTTGAATACAGGGTGGGGGACACAGAAAAAAAAAGTGTGAAGACATTTTGAAATTTGTAAACCAGAGATTTACGTCAGGGTTAGGCAACTGTGGTGTAACTACAAATCCCACCCTGCCTCTGCCCCTGTGAGTCATGCTCTCGGCTGTCAGAATCTTGCAACGGATCATGGGACCTGTAGTTCCACAGCAGGCTGCCTACCCCTGATAACACCTCTGGAAAGAAGTGCCTGTGCTGACACAACGGTCTCATGTTTTCCATGAGTAGCGTGTTTACAGTCATGTGACTTCAAGCCGTGCAATGGCTGCCCTCCTTCCTGACACTCCCTCCCCCCGCCCACCAGTAGCGGCCACACACACTGACAGCATGAGGCTCCCATTGTACCGTGACCTTGTACCGGGCGGCGGGCTGCAGCTTTGCTCAGCTTCTGACAGCAGCCCGGGGACTCTGACTGCAGCCGGCGCTCCTCCATAGACTGGCCCCTTAATTGTGCCTGGCATGGAGCTCAAAGACGTGGTGAGCCGTAGAAAAGCCATGCTGGTGCCCCGGGGCAGCTGGCTCTTCCCCACCTGTGTGCTCTGTACTTACGGCTTCTTCGCCAATCTCCGGCCGTCCGAACCCTTCCTCACCCCTTACCTGCTGGGGCCGGACAAGAACCTCAGTGAGAGGCAGGAGACCAGTACTTGTAGACTCTGCAGCTCAGCCAGCCATGTGATCCTCATGTGCTTCCCTGTGGAATGTGCGCTGTACCAGTTCAGTGGATGCAAAGTGTTTTTTCCACATGACGATTCCTGATTTATACTTTGAACATCTGACTGAAGCATTCATATTCCGTGTGCTTTCTGATCCTAATCATAGCAGTAGTAGAGTATTGTACTGTGGTAATCAATTGATTAGTGCAGATGCGGGCTATCTATAAAAACAATATGCATCGCTTATTCATTAATTGAAACTGCAGATACATACATACATACATACATACATACATACATACATACATACATACATACATACACTCTGTGTGAGTTAACAAGCTGTTCTGAGAATGAGGCAAAAGTGTGATTTCTCTTCTGGCTGAATCTTCTTCCGTTAGTTATTTTAAATTGTTTTTGAACAGTGCGAATGGGGGTAAAAAAAAACCACATTCTGGCCGCTGGATAGTACTGGGGTTCAAAGAAAGCAAATACATATTAGGAGATACAATGTTACAGTTCAAGAGAATGCTAGAGGAAATGCAGAATCCATGTATAAATCTAACCATCGCCATCCTGTAGTATCAATGGTTACATTTCTATTCTTATTCCCTCCAGCAGTCTCCTAAATCAGCGGTCGCCAACCTTTCAGACCTCATGGACCACTAAATTCATAATTTTAAATCCTGCGGACCACTAATATGAATATTTTGTTTCCTCATGTAAATATGTACGTGTGTGTGTGTGTAATCTCCGATTATGACAGCCGAGAGCATGAGTGGGATTTGTAGTTTCACCACAGTTGGGGTGCCACAGTTGCCTAACCCTGACGTAAATCTCTGGTTTCAAAATGTCTTCACACTTTTTTTTTTTTTTTTATGTGTCCCCACCCTGTATTTTTTTTTTTTTTAGCCTAGACAAAAATGAGCAGTTAACCCTCAAAGTGCAGGGGTTAATAAAAAATTCAGCCCAGAGTTCTGCTTCAAAAGATTTAGGGGGCTTCAGCTGTGGCCACACATAATATTCAGTATATGACAGAAGACTGTCAAAGACTTCAGGAAAGCTAGAGGAGACACTCGGAGACATCAGGCATGCAAAAGGGGTGGTGGGAATCAGATTATACACTGCAGGAAATAGAGAGAGACTGGGGATATGCTACATGAGGCTACTACATGAGGCTACTACATGAGGCTACTACATGAGACTACTACATGAGACTACTACATGAGACTACTACATGAGACTACTACATGAGACTACTACAGATCACCATCATTATTGCCTATTTACAAATAAATTCTATCACTGCCTGCTTGGGTCTGCAAAGGGCCGCACAGCAAGTACCAGAGGACCGTAGGTTGGGCACCAACCCGAGGTCTTAGGTCCAAAGTCTAACAAAGGGATCTAAGGAATCCCAAAAGCTTACATCTTTAATAACTTTAGTTAGCCAATAAAGGGCATCACTTCATGTCCAAACTTTCTGCACTGATGCTGATCAGGTAGGGATATAGTTATTTAGCAGAAAGATGATTCCAATGAAAGAACCACATCTTTAAGATCCTCCTTTTTTTGTTTTTAACATTAACGGGATTATTAACAAAGCTGCCGAAGGCCGCCTTTGGGAGCTGTACGGGCTATAATGAATAGCTTGTACAGCAGCCCTTCAGTGCGACTGAACCGAAGGGCTCCCACAACCGAAGCTAGCCAAAGGATCATCATTGTGAATAGACCCCTAAATGATCAGTACATGAACACATTGGGGGGGAGTATATCAAAACTGGGACAGAATCTGGAGCAGTTGCCCATGGCTTCATTTCAAAGCTTCACTGAGCAAACTGAAGAGAGAAGCTGATGGTTACTATGGGCAACTTCTTCAGATTCTGCTATGCCCCAGT